ATCTTAATTTCATATGGCTTGTGCATATCCGAGTTTCCAATAATTAGGTTCGTTTAGACTACTATGTTGATCTAGGCCAAAAATATTTCACTCAACATTGTTTTTCAATTAAGTTTTTTAATACCTATTTTAAAAGGTAATTTTTATTTGGGGATCTATTCAACACCCCCCCCCCCCCCTCAACTCTAGATTAGTCTATGTAGTCTAACAAGTGGTATGAGAGCTCCGGTTAATTCTGTGCTTCAAAACTCTTATTAGAAAATGGCTTATGAATCTAAGGGGATTACAAAACAACCTCAGTCTTTTCGGGAGAAAACTATAGTTATTAGAAAGCTTGTATGCACATTCATGTTAATTCATATGACAAGGGTATGTGTGACGTTATTACTCAACTCAATGCTAATGGCATTGTCACACCTAAGCCGGAAGCACAATGAAATAATGATGATAAGAAAAATTCATTAAATCTCATTAATCATTTGAGCGCACTTGGTACTATTTCCAATACAATTACTACTAACAAAGTTTTGAGATGTCTTACTAATAATTGGAAACCGAAAGTCACCACGATCAAGGAAGCCAATAATCTTACAACACTTGATTTCACTAAATTGTTTGGTAAGTTTGAAGAACATGAGAAACAACTTACTTGCTTAGACAATCATAAGAAAAATCTTGAGAAGAAGAAAATAAGGGAGAAAGTCACAAATAAGGAAGAATGAACGAAGTCTCATGCTCTTAGAACTTCTCGTTCAAGTTTCTCAAAAGGTGAGCACATTGATAGGGATTCTAGTGATGGTGAAGATTTAAATTGTCACTATGGTTACAAGAAAGGCCACACTATTGAAAAATTCAAATTTAGGAGTTTTATTTGTTCCTAAAGGTGTTTTTCAATGGTTGCCCAAATGCGACCAATTTTTTGACTAACCCCCAAGGACTCAATGAATATTGGGTACCTAGCTTGTCTTGTTGTTTTTGTATGAACATTGTCTCGACTCTATGAAGAGAATATGGGTTCTCATTTATGGTGGCTCAAGGCATATGAAAATATTCTAATCCTATTGTATATGTGACAAGAAGATAGATTATGTAATCTAGAAAGTAACAACAAGTATTATTTAATTGGTAAAAGAGGCGAAAGTTACTTTTTATGTTGTATCCAAGAATACTCGGAAAAGGTATTTCATTTCATGACGCAAGTGTATCTTCAAGAAACATACTCAATGACGTTGAAGAAGGAATTGATCAACCTGAATCAAAGAAACATAAAGAGGAGAAAGATAACTAACATGAAAAGAATAAAGATGAGAGTTCAATCAAAATGAATGATCATCAAATCAATGACCTTATTGGATTCATTGCAAGTTATACTTTTGGATATTTTGTCAAAGTGAAAAGTGGTAAGATCATATTGTTCTAAAATATTTGTGGCATATTTTGATTTTGGTTCAACTTCCTTTTGAGAGTTCCTTGTGAAATACAAGTGCATCCTCCATCATATTATATGGTGAGGTGGTATTGATTTAACTTTCGATTTGTTAGTAAATTCTCTCTTTTACTTATTTATTTCTCTAAGTACATGACATACTTGGTATTTAAGATTATTGTGGGAAAATTAAACCCCTTTTAGAATTGTGGGATTCAAATCCATTATGTAGGATGCCCTGCCAAAAATCTTACTTTTGCAACCATTGTAATCTATAATTTTATTTGTGAAATTCGGTAGTGTTAACCTCACAAAAGCATATCTCTTGTCACTGACAAATTAATTTTACTTAACCTAATAATAAGATCACATTTGTTTAGTTTATTGCAAAAGGCTATGGAGCATGAACTCTGATACCGACATAGTGAAGTCGATAATCATTTAAAATATATATATATATATATATATATATATATATATATATATATATATATATATATATATATATATATATATATATATATATATATATATATATATATATTATACGTAATGACAATTGCTTGTGCAGATAAGGTTGTTAAAATCGCAATTTAAATCCTAAACTATGTAGATTTTACGTTTTTAGGTCAGCATTTTGTGCTAAATTGCATGTGAAAACATTTTTTATGTAAAATTGTATTTTGAGATGATTTTAAATTATTTAAATCGCTCTGAAATCGGTGAAATTGCGTAAAATCGTTAGGTTTTACACTTTGACCCGATTTTACCTTTTTGTCAATTTTTTAAAAAGTACATTTTGTATTTTTTTCCCATGAAAACTTACGTCACGCTTTTTAATTTTAGGATTAAATATGTGACACCCCTTTTGCAATATAGTCGAGATTCGCTTTACCCCCTTGTAAAAGAATTTTTTTTATTTTATCGTTATAATATGAAGAGTCTTTATCTATTGCCCCCGGGTGCACTATTTCAACTCAGATTCCATTTTATTTCCAGCGTGGCATATATGTTTTATATGACATAGATTTATTTATACAATTTATGTACAGGCATGGAAATTTGTTCTTATATTTCTATCTTTAAGTAATTCCTGCAAGCTAGGGTTTCGAAGGTTCCATTTTTTTCATCTTTACTCAGTGGTTTCATTTGTTCATCTTTATCGTTTGTTGAAGCTAGGGATCGAAGGTCCGTAGATGTTCTTCTATTTCATTCCCAGTATTTTCGATATTCATCTTCTTCGAGTTTGAAAACATGGGTGGAAGAAAAACTTCACTCATTGGTAACTCAAGTGGACTGAGTTTGCCCATATGTAGATGTAATGAACCAATCAAGATACGGGTATCAAACATCATTGAAAATCTTAATAGGAAATTCTGGAAATGTTGATGTTCAGGAGTAAGTTTATATTCGTGTTTTTCTTCGGTTTTCACTTTAAATTAACTCTTACATTTATTCCTTACCTAATTGCAGAGTGAGGGCAAGATGTGAGTTTTTCATGTGGGACGATGAGGTTAGTCAGGATCAACAGACTCAAAATATTCCCTCAAATTGATGTAACTGTGAAATGACAAAGGGTTATTTAAGAGAATATGCGAAGGACCTTGGTAAGGAAGTTGAGACTGAAATTGGCAAGTTGTTTGATGTAGCATTCAGTTCAAAAAAATTTGAAATGACCAAGAAAAAGCTTGAAATGAGAAGAACAAAAGCTATTGATTGATGATTTCACTTGTGGTGTCATAGATTTTGTTCTCTATTGTTGTTAAATTAATGTAATTTATTGTGTATTAGATGATATTATGATGTATCAGTTGATATTTTTATATAATGGAAAATGGATATTGGTTAAAAGTGTGGTCTAATATTGTATTTTGTTTTAAAACTCTATTAAGACATAACAAATGCATAATTAAGTAATACTTATGGAACATAGAGTGCAACCAAAATAACACTTAGATAGTAAATAACACATAAAGTGAACAAGTCATTACAAAGTGGTACTTATAGTGCATGAGTATTAAGACAGAAACAAAATGGCACATAAAGTGCATATGTCATTACAAAGTGGCACTTATAGTGCATCAGTTTTAAGACAGAAACAAAATGGCACATAAAGTGCATCATAACAAAATGGCATATAAAGTACATCATTACAAACATAACTTAAACACAGTACGAGTTACATAATACAAACATAAATTTCATCATCTATCTTTTTTTTTCTTCCAAGATTTCAAAGATCTGGTACACACCCCTAGCTTTGAATCAAGTCCATGAGCTTATGATTGGCTGGTACTTGTTCCTTCATCATGTTCTATCAATGTGATTGGATGGTCAGAAGTTGAACTCTTACCTATAGTTGATTTTTGAAACCATTTCAACTTCAATATTTCACTCTGCCTTTTTCTCATCTTCATAACAGGTTTTTTCTTCTTTTATTTTGGTTGTGCTTGACTTATAGCAACATTGTTATCAGCTTGACTTGCATCAACCACACATGAATCAGCTTGAGTTAAAGCAACATTGTTCTCGGCTTGACTTGCAGTAACATGGTCTTACACATTAGGCTGCAGATCAAACTTGGTCATGAGCATGCACATTAGAGTGCACATAAGCCATTAACATTCTTCTGCTTTGGCCCAACTTCAGCCTTTTCTGCTTTGGGTTTCCTCTAAACAAGAAAATAACATTCCAGTTACAATAAAAATATCATAGGGAAGACAACTAACAAATTGCACACAAAAAAATCATGTGTTACCTTTCTTTTCAAAGCATTAGGGTCTTGTGTAAAGCTCTTGCGTGGCAGAGAATTGTGCCCAAACTTTTCACATTTGGTGCACTTATAAACTACACCAGGTCTTGCATAATATCATGTATTCTCCCTTTTTTGGGAAATATCTTGTATATCTTGCATAATATCGCATATTCTCATAGTTTCAAAAGTTTACACTTTCTTCACTACTGTCTTGGCCACCCAAAACCTTAGCACATGTGTGGATATCCATCGGTGTTTTTATAGCATATGTATGCTTGTGGTCCACTTTAGAGAATAGAACTAAAAAACCACATTTAACTTTTCATTCTATCATTACCCTATACTCTCATTTTTCACAAAGGTAATTTCCCTACCATTTAACACTGATCACTCACGAATTTCCTCTCTAAAGTTAGCAAGAGAATTAAATTACATACCCCACTTAAACTTGTAGTCTTTGCTGAGCTTCTCTTTCCTAAACCTTTCAAACTTGGGTCCTTCATCATCACCAGATTCATATGGATCTCCAATTCATCAGTAAAATATTCATCATCTTCAATTTTCTTTTTGGGTCTGCCAAGTAATCCTACAACTATGTCCTCTTCATTTATAGGTACGGTTATATCAACTTTATCAAATTCATCTACAGGAGCAGTAGCTCTATCATGCTCACTATCATCAAACCCTTCAACCACCTTATCATATAATCCTTACATATTTGTCACCCCATTAACACACTTACGAACTCTTACTTTCAGTTTTATCTCTTAACATCATGTTCCACAAAAATATCTCCATCAACTTGAGTTGCACAAGCATATGCAGCAAAATCATATACATCATCATCCTTCCTTATCTAAAAGAAATTCTCATCTATCTCCCGAATTTTCGACCACAACCTATAAGTTCCTTCTTTATAACCCCACATGTTCACCAACTTACAAATTTCAGCCATTGTCCATTTCTCATGTGTTGACCAAAAACAATCGTATCAACACCCACTTTGTATATGATATCATTCTTCTTGACCATCATAAATTCACCCTCATAGTAAAAAAACTCCATTAAAATGTTGCATGTTCTGTGAAATGGATTCGAAAAAAGATTTAAAGTTCAATGGCGTCTTCGATCGTGCTTCAACCAATACAAGAAAAAACCCAGACATTGGAAGAGAAGAGAGATCGAAAAAACTAACCTCAAATATTGGAAGCTTCAGTGGTGTCTTCGACCGTGCTTCATCTTCAATCGTCTATAAATAAGCTCGTCTTCGTCTTCACCATTGCATCTAGCTTCGTTTTCACCACCGCATCTAACTTCGTCTTCGTTCCAAGCAAAGTTACCTGATTTGGAATTTACATACTAACCCTAGCATTTATATGGTAAGTAAATATGACAAATATGAATGTTATTAAATTGTAAAAGTAAATTTGTCAAATGAAATATATATATATATATCATGCTGGAAAGAAATAGAATATGGGTTGAAATAATGCACTCAGTGGTCATAGAAAGAAAATCTTTATATTATAAGGGGAATAAAAAAAATATTCTTTTACAATGGATAAAGTGAATCTTGCCTATATTGCAGGGGTATCATATATTTAACCCTTAATTTTATTCGCATTCCTATCTTGATTATAATATTGAAGAACCTTTATTATCTATTGATGAATTTAATCAAGTTGAATATGAATACACTAATGAAGATAATGTTATAAAAGGATTGAACTTTTGATTAAGTAGAAAATAAAGATTAAAACACTTTTTTTAACTTGAGAAACTTGTGAATTTTTTATTTTTTGGGATAATCTTTTGGATGCTACTCTTTATGATTAAGTGTATAATTTATGTAGTTTGATACAAAATTGTGAAATATTATTGTAATATAATATATTTTTGCTTTATAATTAAATTATATATATATATATATATATATAAAATATTATTGTCCGATATGACATGAACACGTCATCTTTTAAAAATGTCGGTGCTACGTAGACAAAAAGTCAATGACAGAAATAAGTCAATTAAACACAAATGTCGTTTGTGGTGGGCAGAGTTGGAATTAATTAGTATTTAGTTGGAGGGAATGTTACTAGTGGAATTCACTTTAGAAAGTTCTGAAGGTGATGATTGATCAGATAGATATGTGATAATTAGGTTCAAAAAAACCATATGATTGGGATAGGACTTGTGATTTAGCTTTTCTTTCTAGTATTGTGGGGTTCAAATCCAAGATGGAGGATGCCCCTACCAGGAATCTACTCTTGCAACCATTGTAATCTCTAATTCAGTTTGTGATCTAGCTCCTTTTCAAGAAAATTAGTAGTATTAACCTCAAAAAATTAATTAAAAAGTCAAACATCTCTCTTGTCACTCAACCACATTGTTTAGTTTATAGCAAAGGATGTGAAGTTACTAATGGAGTTCACTTTATAAAGTTTTGAAGGTGTGATTGATCAGATAGATGTGATAATTAGGTTCAAAAAAGTAAATAAGTATACATAAAACCCATTTAAGAACACCTTATTTGGGCACTATAAATACAATAATCTGTAATAAATAATCCATAAAGAAAATAAGAAAAATTAATTACAAACAACAATACTGGTTAGACTAGATATCTCTAATTCAACTGTAATAATTACAATTATAAATATTACAGAACTTTCCTTTCCATTCCTTACCTCTCGAGTGTTTTTTTGTACTTTACACAGATTTTCCGAACTATATAACCTGTCATCCAATGCCTTAGTATACATAGTTATGAAGAAGTTGATGATCGATCTGCCCACTATATAACCTGTCATCCAATGCCTTAGTATACATAGTTATGAAGAAGTTGATGATCGATCTGCCCACTATATAACCTGTCATCCAATGCCTTAGTATACATAGTTATGAAGAAGTTGATGATCGATCTGCCCCTTGGTCAGTGATTATACATCTTGAAGGTGGACCAAACATGCTTAATACCACCTGCAGCAACAACAAAAAATATGTTCAGTTTCAACAATCAAGTTCATTGCAACAAAAAATAATAATTCAGTGCAACTCCTAGCAGTTTTTTTTTCTATTTTATCCTTTGAGTTAATGCATTTATGAAAAATTAATTAAGAACATAAGAACACTAACCGGCAAGAAAACAAGTCCGTGCAAAAAACCGAGAAGTACTAATGACAAGTACATCTGAAAGTAATAAACCTGCAAAAGGGAAAACTAGTTATTGCACACATATAGGATATCAGAGGCCGGCCAAAAAACAGAAGATGAACTCGTAATACCACAAAAACTTCTGTTCTCGAGAAGCAAAGAACAATAACTCCAACCAACTTTGTTAGTGTGATACCACTGCAATAGCATAAAGTGGATATTGTTCAGAAAAGAAACCATGCATTAATTTAAAACAACAATATATGGATGCAAATGCAAAACAATTGCATTGAAACTGTGTTAGAAACAACAAAGATCTATCATGTAAATTTGTTGAAACCAAACTCGAGTGAATAATTCTCCATGACTTTTGTATAAATATTACCAGCGCATCTGTGCAAGTCAAGAAACAGAACGAGATATTTATGCTAGCACAAAATCACCTGAAGACTGAAGCACCCATTGTACCTAGAGCCTCCTTAACACGCTGATCTTTATCTCCACTTGCAACCTGCAGGAAGATTTTGTATTGTGAAAGTGAGAAACTAGCTCATATATAAAAATGGCAACGCAATGTAGTTCAAGTATTACAGCATTCAATGAATTTGCTAATATTAGTAATTAAAAAAATGCACCAAAACATTAGTTGTCCTTTTAAGCATAGAGAGTTTATAAGCTCAGATTTTAAACCAGTCTCTGATACCATATTAATAAATGTGATAGGTGTGTGGGTTCTCTCACTTATAAAGTGTCAAATCTCCACTTTTTTAATCAATGTGGGACTTCCCCACACTTATTTCTCAACACTTCCAACTTACACTTGTTTTTCTCAACATTGCATATAACTTTTAATTCACTAATATGTGCAAATATTATATAGGCATGTGGCTTAAAATTTGTTGTTTCCCCATCCATCCACTTCCAGTCCGGCTTTTGCCCCACCACTGTCCAGTTGCTGCAGATCCGCAACACTGTTTTACCTTGACCCCCACCTGCTCTTCCCCATCTTCTGCGTGATGCAACCACATGAAGTGGCTCCCTAGTTCTACTTCTACCACAGGAAAGAATGGCGCCACTTTCGTGTGTAACATGTTTTTGGGGCAGTAGGCTTGAGTCGAGAGAAACCCAAGAATTTAATTCAGTCACCTTCTCTATTCCTAGACTTGAATATTTCAGAAGCTGCACACTACAGTGGATGACAAGAAATAGGGGAGTGGGAGACTTGCAGGTAATTTGCAACTACTCATTAAAGGAGAGGCCAACACCTGGAAATTGTGGTTAGTTGGAGGGAAAAGGGGTCTGAAGGAAGTGTGATGGCTAGGCGCAATTGAGGTATCACTGGAGATTGTTTTTGTAGCATGTGGGTGATTGCTCGCAGGAAAAGTACACTGCAACAGAAGTCAGTTTCACACGGAGCAAGAGACACAAAGACCAGCCATGCAATTGCGATTGTGCGCGACAAGACTCTTCCATGAGCTTATAAAGTAGTGTCTTCTGCTATCTCTTATTTCTCTCTACACTCCTCGCCGCTGCCACGACCAGTATCTCCGAAAACTTCAGCACGTCCGGAAACCTCACCGGTAACATCACTATAAAAGTCATCACAGAAGCAAAAAACAATCCTCCCTGCCTGACTCCCTCTGCCTCCGCAAACCTCCAGCCCCACTGGTAAAACCATCATGGCACCACCCCATCTTGCAAACCTCACCCACTGCATCCAAACCCTCAAAGCCCCTTCGTTCACCAGTTCCACGAGCCAATTCCAAACGCCACACGCTGCTACAAACTGTCCTACCTACAAACCGTCAACAGCACAAGCTGCTGCTAAGATTGCCTCAGTTCGTGTCTTTGTTATGCCCCAGCCCACTGCAACCTACAACTGGATCTGCTGCATCTGGCAGCAAAACTTTATTTGGGGGTACCATATATATATGCAACCAAAATATTAGGAAAACAGAGTGATAAATTTCAAAGATCTTATGTCAAAAACCTAGTTGAAATCAAGAAGGGATGAACTGATTAATTAAAATTTTAGAATGAGAAACATAGGTATGTCAATGTCATACACCTGTACATTGTGTAAGGTAAACTAAAAAGGAGAGTGGTACTAACAGTGAAAGAATGAGTCATATGCACACAAAACTCGACAGCAATGCCCACTGACATAACGAGGTTGACAACTGAGATGGCATTCAATTGGATATTCAGAATGGCCATCACACCCTACAAAGCATAATATTGCAAGTAACCAAATTAACATGGTGATTTGAAATTCTAATATCAAGCAATAATAAAATTATGAAGCAATATATTAAAAGAACTATATATCTATATTACATATTTGCATCTGCAAGTAAAATCTCAAGTGACAGTTGAAAAGAAGAAAATACCATAAGATCAATAACAATCATTGTCAACACCAACAAAATGATTGCTGAACTCCATAAACTGCATGAACATTGAAACCAAAGAAGGATCAAACCATAATTGTTGGATTCATCAGACAATAACTCACTGATACATCTATCTAATTAAGGAAGAAGGTGAAAAGGATTGAAGCATTTGCTGGATAAGCTAATTCTCACCTGCATGTGATAACCAAGCACACGATAAATACTGCACCTGTTACATCACCATTTTAGAGTGTTATTATTTCACAGCTGAATGCCAACATGCATAGTAAGTAAATTTCGGAGTATAATCATTAAAGAAGTGATTATGAAATATGATTCTGCACATACTTTCATCAAATATACAGAAACATGCAGAATTATAGGTCTAAATACTAACCAATAGCTATTGCAAGGTTGACCAGTGCAGTTTTCCATATATTCAGGTATTGCTCAAAAAACATATAAAACACCGAATATGGGAAGATCTCAATCTGCACAAGAAAAGGAATCTTAGTTCAAACACATTGAAGATAGTAAAAAGCCAAATCTGCTACTTCATTCTTTTTACTATAACTGCAAGAGACTTATATTCTCAATTGTTGAATAACTGAGCATGTCAAGACATTCCCTCATTCTGATTAGTATTACCATTTGTTTCTACATTTTATATTTAATTTAATGACCAAAAATGCTTGATTCGGCACGCAGAAAAATAGATGCATTACCTTCAAAGAATCAGAAACCCTTGAACTGAACTCTCGAGCAGCTCTCATGGAATTAACATAGTCAACCTAAACCAGTTTTACAGTTAAACTTGGAAATTTTTCATACAACTTTAAGCGTATAGTAGATAATATAGAAAGTAGAAATGTAACCTGCTTGTTCAATGGGGTATGATATGTACGGAATGATGATGCTTGAATAATGCCACTGTCATATCCTAACAACCAAAATATAGTTCCAAAGTCAGATATTACACACTCTGGATCTTATACTGCTTCAGAGTTCAAGGGAGCTGTGTCTAAAGTTGACCTAAAGGAGAGTGTGTGTATGGTTCAGCGGTGGAAAGGATTGAGTTTGATAGAATTGATTTCAACAATTGATTTTGGTTAAAAGTGAATTGAGCACAAGTTGATTTATGTTTAGATATAATTATATAAAAGTGGTTCTCACAAATTCTTGATGTTTGGATAGTTTATATCAGAATTGCTTTTAGGCATATAATTACTAAAATGGATTTTAATTTTATTTAAAACTAGATATTTCATTTATATTATAGTTAATTATTTAAATTTATGTTGCATTATTCAATTTCATATAATTGTACAATATATATTACATTCATTAGCAATTTTTTAATGGGTTTAATATGGTATAAACTATTTTTAACGAGGGTTATTAGTATTTAATAAGAGTTATAAATTTTTGGGTCTGTTTACTGGTCGGGGCAATGTGGAGAAATACGGATAACTACTATGATTAAATATTTATTAAACCAAAACATGTTTCAACCTTTCTATTCTTCACAGATTCGTTCTTTTTCTCCCTCTGTCCTCTTCTCTTGTCTCTGTTTTTATTTTCAATGTGGAGAAATTGGAACTTGTGATACTTTTTATTTTGTTTTATAGGTTTTTAGTGAAGAATTGATTTTGATCATGCAGAAGCACACAGACCTGCTTCAGTTAGAATCAATTTTACAGTGGACATTCAAACACCCTTTAACCGATGCGAACCACGTTTAGCTAGTGGAAATGTGTGTTTTGTATCTCCCCGGCGTGGAACCAAACACATACTTAAATGTGAATTAAAAACACAATAAAAGAGCTTCTTTAAATCATCGAACCTTTCAGTTCAACACTGCTGGTGTAAGCCCCGTGACCACCTTTTGCACAGTCAGCAGATGGAAGAGCACTAAGAAACCACGGCAGTTTCTCCCTAAATTGTGTTGTGGAAGGACGATCATTATGGAGATCGGAGTGACGGAAACACTGCACAACTTACCAAAGTGTTAGACTAAGGCCTTAAAACAGAAAAAAGAAACTATTGTGATAGTGATGGCACTGATAAAAAATTTGTCTATTACCGTTGTGCAATCGTTACATACTCCAGCTGAAACACAGGAGCCTCCTTCTTCAGGAGCACAGCAAGGAGGCTGGGAAGAAAAAATAACTGTCAGCTACCAAAATATTATTTTACACTTGAATACTTCAGAAAACTAATATCCTTCATTACCTTTTCTCTCCTTTTTTTATTATGAAAAACAA